TTTCCTCACCCGGCGCTGCAGGGCAACAGGTCTGCCAAGTCGCCTGCTCCATGGATAGTGGTGCCAGTCCATCTATTTTAATATTCAATGAATAGATCAGTGTATTATCATTGTCCATGACTAATTTCTGCTATGCTCACCACTAGTTCTACGACACATATCAGGACACAGCAGCATTCCGAACAATGCCATCGCTAATACTGTTTAAATGCTACTTAATTTTCCATGCTTCCGTTATCTGCGCAACGCTGCTAGGCTTGTGTACGATGCAACTCAGACTAAAGCCTAACTACAGAAAAGTCTAGTATGAATTGTACCATTTCTTCTAAACATCATTCAGTCCTTACTCAAGAACTTCCTGATCGCCAACACCCGAGTGTGCCAATTGTGAAATGACATCCGGTTGATTTTGTTAGAGTACAGATCATCTTCTACCACATTCGCCTCATATATCCTATTAATTGAACCTAAAAAGTGGACTCAGAGACGTCACATTTACCTCTCCGATTCGCTTATTTTCGAAAAGCTTTCCTACCCACTTTCCAATACTATGCCCATGCATCGAAAGATTTCGATGATTTATTGCCTTCTTGCAGTTGCGTAAATGAAACGATCAATGTTTTGTTTTTCTCCGACAAAACAAAATTAACAATACACAAAATTATTGATGCTTTATACTTCGACAATAAGAAATGTTTTGCAATGTGACATGCATTGCTATGAGTGTGAGCATTTCTCGTACTACTCATTATTTTATATAATATATGCATCCCTATTAAAAACTGCAGTCAAGTCACAACTGCAGGTAGACACACTTGACGCACGAAAGTGGTAGTGATCGTTGGAACATTTACCTAGTTTGGGATTGCTGCTGAGAAAGTAGACACCGATGAAGAACGCGGCGGACGAGAGCATGAGAAATCCACTGCCCACACGGCGGACAGGCAATACTTGTCGCAAATTCGCGCAGCTCACGCATTTCCAGCAATGGTTATGGCGATGATCCACAGCAAGTCAAAGGTTATTTCTGTGGAAATGCTCGGGAAAAGTCGGTTGCCGGCTTCAAAAGAAAGGTGCATGTATTGGGCAGGATGCAAAACAAATTAAGTATCCTTCTTAAGAGAGCCCTCGACCTGCTCGATTGCGTTCGGCATGAGTAGTGCGAATAAACGTGCCATTTGGAGTTTGCCTATTTGTTTTGCTTTTAATAGACTGGCTGCAAAGTGTCCTGGTTATGAACTGAAGCGATAGTTTCATTCTGCTAATCCTGCATCTGCACGTGTGTGTGTGCGGTCACATTCAGTGCATTCCTTACCTACTTGCTCATTGTTTTTATTGAGCTAAACGGCGATGTGTTTGATAGAGAAGAGAATAAGGGCCGTATTTTAATCCCACAATTCCTAATGAGGAGTTAAGGTACGTCAGCAGACCTCCATGTGGAGTCACATCGATAGGGTCTGCAATGTGTTTGGCTACCCGGAAGTCTTGCATGAGTATGTGCCTCATTTAATGCTCATGCTTTAGCATTCCTATTTTTATTCAGTGATTCAGTTTTATCATATAGGGGGAATTGAAGCCCTTCTTGGTGGTACGTTCACACGAAGGCAG